AACAACTTAAATTAAGATTTCAACAAGGTAAATCATTTGAACTCATAGATGACTTCAGATTAAATCAAACTTATTTATATTATTTTCGATAAATACATATATATCTTATTCATTTATTTAGGTGCACAACAATGTTCTCGTCCATTATTAGCCGTTCTTTATAGTACACTTCCACAAGTATCATCAGTCGATGCATTTGTTTTATTTCTTCAATCACTGAATCCTAAATATCCGCATTTATTTCCAGTTACATCAAATTTTGCTAATTTAGCTAGTCGTTTACTATGTCATATAGCTGGACTTGGTCATTGGACAGTTCTTGGTCTTGCAACACATATATTTGCACCTGAAAGTCGATTAGAATCATTAGTACGTTTTTGTCATGCATGTATTGATATGAATGAACAACCTACACCAACATTTTTATCTTCAACACAAACAAGTATTGGTCTTGGACAATCATCAACATGGTTTACACAATTAACAACAGAATTACTTCTATGTGTCTTTCGACAAGTATCATCACATACAGATATACGTTCAATTTTTCATTTACTTGGTCCTCAAAATGAATTTTATCGTCGTTTTGAACGATTATTTGCTTTACTCGATGAACAACCATCACCAATACCATTCGACTGGTCACTTGTTATGTATACAGATCGTTGTTATCGTTCAATCATGCCATTAATTGAACAGTTGATAAAACATGATCGATTTGATTTAGTTGATGAAATAATAGAGTGTGTTGATATTGAAATTGATATGACTTTATTTGAACGTTTTAAATGTTCATTTGATGAATATCAACATGATTTAGATACAGATGACAAAGAATTAAATGAAGCATTTGATACAATATGTCAAGGACATCATGATGTATTAAAACGTTTAAAAAAACCATTACTTTATGGAGATTTTCTTTTATCAATACGTTCAACATCATCAAAATTAGTTCATTTATTATTAATTATATTTGCTAATCAAGCACAACATTTACCTGTGTCATATGATTATTCTATTCAAACACCTCAACGACAACCGATTATGGAAAAATTATGGACAGCATTAATTACTTTTATAGCTGATTATCATGATAGACCCATTGTGAATAAAATACTTGATTATATGGTTACTTTGTTTTCTGATTCCGTATTAGATCAATTAGCAGATAAAACATTAATACCAATAGATTTTGATGATTATTTACGTGCATTTGATGATAATGAAGTAGAAGAAGAAGAAGTAGTTGAAGAATATAAAAAATCAACAGTTGTTGCTGAAAATGCATTTGAAGCACTTCTTTTAAAAGATGTCTTCACCAAAGATAAAGTTCCATCAACAGCAGAGATAATTTCAACAGGTATAATTTATATTAAATATAAATAATCTAAAACAACAGATTTTTTATTTTTTTTAAGATAAAAATTCTTTGACACCATCAAATCGTCGTCAATCTAGTCGTGGATCTTCGTCGTCACAATTACCATCTTTTGGTCCAGCATTAAGTCGTCGTTCATCAGTATCTTTAACAAGTTCACATGCAACAAATTTATGTCATTTATCCGATAAAGATTTTCGTTCATATGTAACAACAATTCAAGATGCATTTTTATCTCGTGCATCACCACAACTTGCATTACAATTAGCAACTAAATTTCGTTTAATATCTTATAATTTAGCTATTTTCTCTTATGCACATCGTTTATATTTAAATCTTTTAATACCATCTGATATTCGTACACGTTTTGATCAACTTCCACAAATAAATAATACAGGTAAATTTAATAAAAAACGTTTAACAAATGTTTTACGAACAATGTCAATAACATCAGCGAATGATGAACAAACAAATACCGTTGATGATCAAAAACAAAAATTAATCGATCGTCTTTCATCACGAACATTAAATGATGATCGGTTGATATCAATAATTAATACATTATTTAAAATTAGTCGACTTTTTCGTATTGATTCATCTTCTTTATTAAATACAAATGCTCATAATGATGAATGGAATCTATTAAAACGTATTCTTTCATATCCATCATCATCATTTCCAACAAAAAT